TGCCTCCTTCTCCTGGTGTCAAAGCCAAACAACCTCACAGAAGCAGCAGGGAACAAAAATAGTCACCTGGTACTGCCAGATACTCCACAGATGGGTGTCAGGGAGGTCTGTGAGCACAGCAAATGAGAGGTGAAGACTGAAGACTCTTCACCAAAGCCAACATGGATCATACAGGTGTACAACACCTTCATAACTTCAAAGTTGCCCTCATCCTGTCAGGAAAGTGGGGAATGACCTTCATGCATGCAGGAATCACAGTCAAAACAGTGTCTGCTCGACAGTTGCTGGTCAGGCACTAAAATAGGTTGCCCAGGGAGGCAGTTGAGTCACCATCCCTGGAGGTGTTTCAGAGGTGTCTGGATGTGGCACTGAAGGATCTGGTTTAGGGTTTAGGGGTTACAGCAGTGGCAGGTTAATGGTTGGACTTGATGATCTTAGAGGTCTCTTCCAGCCTTGATGATTCTATGATTCTATTTGAGGATGTGCAGTAAAGCCCAGGAGAACAATTTGTAGATTATAAATGAGTTTTGAAATTAGGGCATTTTCTATGAATTTGCATACAAAACATTCACAACTGTGTTACAAGAGATGAAATTACTAAATTACAGTGTAATATTCATTGAACTCTCTAGATCAGCTTCTGTTACAAAAAGGTCAGTTGTAATTTGCGATATTCGCTGTTGAAACTCCTAATTATTTTGCAGATCATACTACAACTCCAATCTAGTATACAATCAAAATAGGACACCAGTACTTAAATGGGACAAGCATGCCTTTAAAATAACTCCTTTTGCTTTGTATTTGAACGGGGCCATGACAAGATCTCTGAAGCAGTATTGAAGTACAACAAAAAATCACACAGCTAATGATAAAAATGTTGCTTAAGGGTTATAGTGATATGTTACATTCATAGCCTAGAAGGTCATAGAATCATAGAGTCATGGAATGGTTTGAGTTGGAAGGGACCTGAAAGATCATCTAGTTCCATTCCACTTTGCATACAAAACATTCACAACTGTGTTACAAGAGATGAAATTACTAAATTACAGTGTAATATTCATTGAACTCTCTAGATCAGCTTCTGTTACAAAAAGGTCAGTTGTAATTTGCGATATTCGCTGTTGAAACTCCTAATTATTTTGCAGATCATACTACAACTCCAATCTAGTATACAATCAAAATAGGACACCAGTACTTAAATGGGACAAGCATGCCTTTAAAATAACTCCTTTTGCTTTGTATTTGAACGGGGCCATGACAAGATCTCTGAAGCAGTATTGAAGTACAACAAAAAATCACACAGCTAATGATAAAAATGTTGCTTAAGGGTTATAGTGATATGTTACATTCATAGCCTAGAAGGTCATAGAATCATAGAGTCATGGAATGGTTTGAGTTGGAAGGGACCTGAAAGATCATCTAGTTCCACCCCCTGCCCTGGGCAGGGACACCTCCCACCAGCCCAGGCTGCTCCAAGCCCCATCCAGCCTGGCCTGGAACACTCCCAGGGATGGAGTAGCCACAGCTGCTCTGGGCAACCTGTGCCAGTGCCTCAGCACCTCACAGGGAGCAATTCCTGCCCAATATCCAATCTGTCCCTGCCCTCTGTCAGTGTGAAGCCATTCCCTGTGTCCTGTCCCTCCAGGCCACTGTCAATAGTATCTCTCCATCTTTCTTATAGGCTCCTTTGGGTACTGGAAGGCCACAATGAGGTCACCCCAAAGCTTCTTTTCCCCAGGCTGAACAATCCCAATTCCCTCAGCCTTTCCCCATAACAGAGCTGCACCATCCCTCTAATCATCCAATAGGTCCATGTCCCTCCTGTGCTGGGGACCCCAGGGCTGGAGGCAGCACTCCAGGCAGGATCTCACCAGAGCAGAGCAGAAGGACACAATCCTCTCTCTCACCTGCTGCCCACAGTGCTTTGGATGCAGCCCAGGAGACAGTTGGCTTTAGTCTATATTGACACTGGCTTCATGTTTTTCTACAGTCTCTAAATAAAAATATGTCCTTGGAAACACTGGATTGTGCCTTTCCAAAGCTGCTGTGGAATAGACAAGTCCAGCACAACAACACTGGTTGCAACTTTACTAAAAAATAAAATATTCCCAGCTCCCTATATGGTAAAGTTCCTGGAAATTCCCCAGTGCAGAACTGAGTACACACAATTCCTGGCTACATTTCAGGTGTTAGCATGGGACAGAGATTATTCCTAAGAGTAGGAGACTAACCTCCTTTGAAAACAACAGTTCAGTGTGGGCTGAACTCCATTTAGCCTCCATGCTAAGGTATAGGCCTGGGCACATTTAATGTGCTAATTCAGCCATAGCCAGTACACAAGAGAACTATTCAGGGACTTATTTAGGAAAACTCCTTGTCTTTTGCAGGAAAATGTAACCAGTCACTGAAAACTCCTGTCTTGTATGAATTTGCCTAAGAGACTAATGGAAAGAGATACTTTGAACTGAATACTCTAAATTGGCACATTATTGCTACCTGGTTGTTGTGTTCAAACAAACAATTTTTTCCTGGGAGAGGAGGAAGCCTTCAGAAATACATTCTTCTTTTTTTTTTTTTGCAGTGCAGATTAATAATATGTATATATTTTTGTCAGGAAGAAAAGCAGAGAGAGTAAAAATAGCTCTCAAGTGAGATTGCTGCTATTCACTCCCCTGTTCCTGGAACCATGACAGTCATTATATAAGCAAAAGGAAAATTAGATGAAATAAACAGCATAAGCTAATTGGGTTGATATCAAGTAAAAAAAATATATATAATTAGGCAAAGTATTTTGTGGCAAAGGCACTGACAATATGTGGCTGTTCCTCAGCCTTACTGGTGAGCAGGGATCCTGCCATGTGTTCAAAACTTATTCATCAAGCATTTCCATGGAAACACACAGATGTACAGGCTCTGGATCACTTATTTTGGGAATTGCTGCTCCCAAGGTTCACTCTGGAGCGAGAACTCAGTCCAGGAGAGGGTAACAGGCTGTGATTCTGATTTAGAAACCTCCCCATAAAGGAATTGATTGGGTCTCAGAGTAGCAG